TAATGAGCGAATGATTGAGTTAGAGTCCTCTTTAATACACGGAATAATTAGACAGACAAAATATAGAACTCAACGATGTTCTGAAACACTATAAACACATTAAAATGAAAATTATTCCAGGTTTGTCAATAATAAGGAAGCATATATGTCGGAGGAAGTAGTATGAATCAAGTCGATTGCTGTTGTGTTTTTAGCGCGTGATATCTATTGTTCTCTAAAAATAATGCTCTCTTAAATCCTAATTTTATTTTATTTGATTTATTTGTTAGATTTTGTTATTGTGTAGAATCTTATTTAATATCATTAAAGTTACTGTATTGTACTTCATACATGTTGCGACCAATCAGAGCAGAGTCTAGGCGCCATTTTGACGGTTACCGTACGATTAGACTTTTTTAGTGTTTGTGGATCGTGGTGAAGATTCATTTCTTTTTTGTTGTTCGTACGGTGAAGCCGTGAAATCGGTGTCGCAACCTGCTGCTCGTACTTTGTTTATATTAATCGTTTTGAATTTAAAATAAGAGATTGCAAAGTAGTAATTCCTTTAGTGACTTTCAAAATTGTTAAACTTTAATTACATTGTACAAATACAGTGAATACTTTGTTTTGTGCTCGCATTTAATCCTAATGACGCCCACTAGACCCGTAGCCACCGATGACGATATCGAGGAGATTTGTGTTTCTCCGATATATATAATATTATTTTGAACTGAAAGTAACGTTTAACCCTGATAACTAAGAGCTTTATTACGAGACTAGACCTGCCAAAAACAACTTCAAGAGTGACTTGCTAATTTCACTGCACTCACATTCTAAGCCTTTCTTTTTTAACATGGGGAAATGCCTACGCATATCTGCCTCGCGGAGGTTTCAGATAACTGTACCGTGGAATTATGATAGTAAGGGATAAAGAGTGCACCTGTGCTTGCGTATACAGTCAGGCACTTTAATCCCGTCCTGTGCAGGTAGCTTGTCTACATTTAGATTGGCCGCCGTGACAAAAATTTGGTCTATTCATTACCATTATTTAAAATAAACTTAAATTATTATGCAGCCATAGTCCCCAAGCTATAGTGACAAGAACGATGGCTGCGTTTCCACGCCGAATAACAATACTGATCATAACATTTTCTTATGTACTATTAGCCGATTATAGAAAATGCCAGAAGTATCTCATGGCATCCAAACGTTTACCCAGACCAGCCACAGGTGATAACGTCTGATATTGCAATCGCTAATTCCTACACCAAGAGTGGCGAATAAGGCAAATACTTCCTACAACGGCAGAGTTCCATTTTCAGTAGTAAATTTCAAGAGTTGTAAGAAGTAGATATGATGTGTTAAGTAAACGCGCAAGAATTGTCCTAACGTTATATCAATCTCATAAGTAAGCTAAGGTCCAAGCGAACTAAATCGTAGAAAAAGCTAGTTTGTATAAATCAATTTTCAAGCAATTTTTAAACAAATCAAAATGGTTTTAAAATTAACCTCTGATTTAACCTCACTTACCCATACCCGATTATGGCGTCCTACGCTTACGATAATGTGTAAAGACCTCTTTAACGTCCAGAAAAATTACGATATCTATTTACGCTCCACTTGTAAGGATATCGGATCTAATGACATTTATATTAATATGAGGGGTATGTGATATTGGCACGTTACCTTAATAAAAGAAAGGAAGCGAATGATGTATTAATGTATTAGTAACTTCATCATACTGCCGTTGACAGAGCTTCTTAATTATGTTATGTTAGTTAGGAGCTCCCTTTCATCACATTTTTTGTAGTATTTATATAATAAAAAATAAAAATATCTACACGTAATTCAACAGCTTTTGAAGTCAGGACTTTAATTATACGATACACTGTGCCTTAGTGTTAATAAAAAATAATCTTTAAAATAGATTCACTTGGAGAAGATATGGCGTAACATATATACAAAAAATATACAGTCGCATTGTGAACTTCCTTTTTTTTTGAAATCAAATGACGAGTAACTGATATCTTTTCAGTCACACATTTTTATAATTATTATAACCATTACCGTTATAGCCTATTTATCGTCCAATGCTAAACGCATTCCTCCGCCATAGAATACCTCAAAGGGATTTTGCTGTAGTTGCCTCGCTTGGAAGACGGGTAGGCAACCGCAGTTTTTTTTATTTTTAGTTATTATAAGTGAGACGCCGCTGCCCAACTCCTGCTTTAATCTATCGCCTCTTACGACATCCACGGGAAGAAATGGAGTAGTGGATATTCTTACACCGCCACTACAACGTTAATTTTTCATACCGATGATTTATTTACGTGTATAAATATTATAATTTTAATGTTATTAGTAACTAAGGTAAATTTTAGCATATCAATACAATGACTTAAGAGTTTATTATATCGAATTTGGATGTCGTTTATCATAGTTTATCCAATATTATTTTTCGTGTTGTAGCTCTACGGCAAAGTCTACACATTTTATCTCAGAATTTTGAATTGAAATTGGTACGGCTTAAACTAGAATTCAAACAAAGCATTGAAGTAAAAAATTTCAAAATACTAATATTCTACAGGTATTCTGGTAGAGAACTCAAGATATTTAGTTTCTAATTACGTTTATATATTTATATTTTTTTAAATTACTTATATTGGATATAGTTTTCAATTTTCTTATAATAAAAAACTAATTACATATGTATAAACGACTCTTTACGACCCCAGTTGGGTGCGGGGTGAGCGGTCGAAAACGCAGCCGACTGCTGAAAGTTCAGTTGGATCGCCGGGTTCACAGGTGATGGACGTACGTGTCGTATTGAAATATAATACGTTTCGTATAGCTTTGAATCTGTTGAGATAGTGTTTGTAAGCAACGTAAAGAGAACTCAATAAAGTTGTGTGTGTTGTGATTATATTTTACAAAGCTTAAGATTCAATTGTGATAAGTGATGGAACTTTATGATTAAAGAACTAGGATGTTTGTCACTTTTATTATTATCAGTCTGCTTATAAAGGGTAAACTATTTTTTTAAATGAATGAAAAAATCTAGCAACGAAATCAAAAAATCATTAATTATATCTTACACTTTGTCGCTTTAAAAGGTTTATAACTCATGACATAATTTCATTATAATTAAAACTAATGATTTTTTTTTGTAAAAACCATAATTATTCAATGCACATTAAAGCTCGCTCAGTTATTACCTACGTAGAGCTTTTACAGTATTTAACTACTTATGTAAACTGTTCTGGATAACATAAGCTTCTATATTTAAAAAATACACTAAAAATCTTTATTAAAACAATTGAAATTTTTTATAAATCTATTACGATTTATAATTAAACTATGAAAATAATTAAATATATTAAAAATTAAAAGAAATATTAAAATGTCCTTTTGTAAATTTATTACATAATTCTGATTTCTTAGCATTACAATAGCTATAAATAACGTTTTTAACGATAATCATGTAATTTAATATTATTACTGTAACATACATTTCGAGGAAGAATTAAATTATTTCTTAAAATTTATTGCGAGGTCATAAGGGTTAGTGATCACATCTGACAAAAGACATGTACAAGGTACTTTTATATTTGCTAGAAAATGTATAATGTATATATTTTTATTTAAAGGTAAAGGACAAGGCTTTATTTAATTTATTTAATTAGATTAGATTCCATATTCACCTTTGCTTAAACTTTAAGTTAACTCTGAGCTTTTTGAATTAAAACTTTCGCCATTGAGCAAGTAAACCATTCGCTCTTTAAATAGTTTATATGTCTATTTTACTCATACAAACAACCGTTCTTGACTCCGTTGCAGAACTCGGGGGAAATTCACGGACGTATATTATTTACATAGAGAAATTTCTCTCTTCGGATTCAAACAGTTTTTAATTAATAAATGGGCTTTGGTACATTTACGCGTATATCAATGATTATCATTTATTCAAATCTAGTTAATGACTATTATACTTTAATTATTGCATGTTTGAGCCACGCTGAAGCTATATGATGTATGTAGCACGAATGGCTCGGTTCAACCGGGGGGGGGGGGAGGTACCACCCTCTCAAAGAATATCATCGTAAAAGAGCAGCGTGTTTTGTCATTAATGAGAACCGGATACCCTTTTTTACTGGAGTTAGATGTATTTCTTCTTAGTCCTCAGGGGCGAAAACGCATCTGCATTTTGATTCGTTCTCAAACTGGTTACTATAAAACATAACTAACACATTTACTTAACCAACATCACTAACATTATTGTCAGGAAAATTAGTCTCAGTTTTAAATATTATCATGCCTGCATACAATAACATTTTGAAACAAGAATGGATAACTATGTGGCTCGAAGAACCTACAACTGATGGAGAAGCATCTGTTTAACACTCTCCCCTCTCCCGCAAAATGCAGTGAGGAACTGATAATTCCCTACTGTAATTCTGTTGAATGACATTATCACTCCTGAGGACTTAGATGGGAAGCCTCATTACTAGTAAAAAGATTCTCAGTTTCATGTAACTAATCAAACCAAATATAGAATATTTATGCTGATAATACCCGTACATTCGCTTCGGAGTAGTTGTACTAGTTAAGAGCCAAAAATTTTAATTAATATTATAACCATACCTATAAATGTTAAAAAACATATCACTTCCACTATCACTACTGCAAATTTTAAATCCACCGCTGAACATATGCCTCCCCATATATTACCACTAAGTACGATTCTGAGCCCACTGCGTCCGTTCACTATCTGCATTTTTCAACAGGCCATCACGCTCTCTAGTGGGGAGCCGGCCATGTTGCGCCTTCCAGTACGAAGCTGCTACTTGATAACCTTTTTTTTCATCGGTTATCGGGTCTTCGAGATATAGCGCCGGTCCCTTTGCCAGTTCAGTCTTTAAAATTGTTACAATTATATGTGCTTAAGCAAGTGAATCACATAAAAACCATATACAAAATATAAATCATTTTTCATGTTTACAAAACATTATTTGAAGTACTTCTAACTATTCTTACAGAGTCATTGCTACTTCGAATAGTAAGGGTAGCAGTTCCTTCGTACAAAGTAAGAGGCCAGCCTGCTCAATTAGACTGCGATTATGAATTAGGAGGTGACATATTATATTCGGTCAAGTGGTACAGAGATAACGAAGAGTTTTATCGCTACATGCCCAAATACGATCCACCTAAACACGCATATAAGTTAGATGGTATAAAAGTTGACGTAAGTATTTGTATTAACGCTCTCGTTCTTGTTTTTGTTGTCGCTTTTATTAAGTTTTCTTATATTCACACCTTACAAACAAATAATTTCGGGAGTTTTAGTGGGAATTTGACCCTTTACGGATTGTTACTATATTTTTCTCCTATAAATAAAAAATAAACAAAAAGTAGTGCGTTTTTTAATTAAAGTCATTTTCTTTTACTTATCTTTTCCAAGTATTATTGTAAGACTATTATTGTTTGACTTATCTTGTCCAAGTATTATTGTAAGTTATAATGATATATTAAAAAGTATGAGGTGCAAAGTGGAACAGATTTTGTCTTCGCCGCACACGAGAGTCCGAGGGTCCACTACACTATACTACATAAGTCCATCCGTGGATGTCGTATTCGGAACGATCCCGACATACCTCTCTCGCTTCTTACACATCAATATACCTAAGCATAATTGACTTACCTTGTCCAAGTATTAACGTAAAAAAGATTTTTTCTTTAATTTTGTAAACGTTTTAGTGTAATTGTTAACTAACCCCGATTCACATAAATAGGTTCAAAGGGTTTAATTAACCTTATAACATTACTTTTACTTTGAAAATGCTGAAGTTATTTTTGTCACTACATTGATATTTTTTTAAGTAATTAAACTGGCTAAATATTACGCAATCAATCCAGTTTATTACTTATGGTACTGAAGTACGACTTTGATTATAATTTTACGTAATGTAATTTATCTCGGGATTTACACCTTCTAAAGGAAAATTTAGCCTTTCGTTAGTTAGTACCCTACTGTTTTAATTATTCCCTGCCTCGTTGGTCTAGTGTTTGGAGTAGAGTGACTGCTGATCATGATGTCCTGGGTTCGAAACCCGGGTCGGTCAAAAAATCATTGATTATTATTGACTTTTTCCGTCAAGAAATTCTCAGTAGTTGCCCGAAGTCAGGAAGTTGGCAGTGTCTCATCCCCGTGCCTCGGAAAGCACCTAAAGCCGTTGGTCCTGCGCCTTTTCTCTCTCCGATCGTGTCGGTTTATCGTCCCATCAGATTCCGAGAGTCACAAATATCTTCCTTCGCCGTCGAGCAAATCAGCAATTAAAATTGAAATAAACAATTTTGTGGTTCCAACGGGCATTGAAGAAATAGGTTAGTTAAATACAACATTTTGAGAGCAACACATTTAGTTAACGTGGTTCTATTGTTTTAAAAATAAAGTCAAATATATGTCTATTTTCATACTGCGATTTGTGTTTAGTAAATTTATTACTGGTGTTTGAAAACAAATACTAAGCAATATTTGTTACAGCTATCTAAATCTGACGACCGAAAAGTGCTACTGCACCCTGTGACACTTAAATCTACTGGGCAGTTCAGATGCGAGGTATCAGCAGAAGCCCCTAGTTTTGCTTCTGCAGCTGGTGAAGGCAGAATGGAAGTTATATGTAAATATTTTTTTTCATACTTTACAATGGCTTAGAACATTTCTACATTTTATGGGCGTTTTTAGATTTGCCACGCGAGGGTCCAAGGATAACTGGCAACCAACAGGAGAATAGACGAGGCGATTCTATGTTTTTGAATTGCACATCGGGTCGGTCTTACCCGGCGGCAGTTCTAAGCTGGGACATAGACGGCGAAAAGGTGCTTTTTTGCTTTCGAGTTTCTCATTAATTTATATTTGACGGCTTAAATTTTCTTCTAAAGATATCATATTAAATATATTATTATAAGTATTCACATCATTATAATTTCATTTTAAGTTTTATTAGAAATTACTTGTTATTATAAGCAAATGTCCATGGAATATATTATATAAAAGATAATTCATAATACGTAGTGTTTAAAATATGGACTAAACGTAATTTAAGATCCTTGTAAATTATTAATATATTTTTATAATTTTTAAAGAAAAGGTTGCTTCCGATTAAAATGTTTCGATTTTAATGGTTCATCAATATCAAAAACTTGCTATTCGTTTCGTGTTGCAGTTGTTCAAGGTGGCGGTAGCCACTTAATATATAAATATATAACAACTCATATTCTACATCGTCAAAAAATCAATATAAATTACGAGGACCTGGGTTCAAATTTCTAGGTGGGCTAAAATCAGTTATTGGGTTTTTCTGCTAAAATATGTATTTCAGTAACAGCCCGGCGTCTGGAAGTGGGAGTTGTTACCACCGTACCTCGGAAATCATGTAAAGCCGTCGGTCCTGCACCTTATACCTCTCCGGTCGTGTCGGACTATGAGAATCGCACCGTCCCATCGGACTATGAGAATGAGAGAATAGATAGTACACCTGAGTTTGCGCATACATCCGGGCACTATAATAATTTTAACTACAGAAATCTGCGCAGGATGGAATATAATGCACGAGTATGTGCGTAAGCGAAGGTGCATTCTCTATTCTCTCACTCTCATAGTTGAATAGGATGGCAATGCGATACGGTCAAACGCAGAGCCCCGAGGCACAAGGGTGAAACCCAATCCACTTCCTGACTCCAGGCTTCTACCGAGAACTTCTTGACGGTAAAATCACGAAACGTAGTTACGTTTGATTGACGCAAGAAATATATATGCATCAGCGGTTGTTGATCCTGGGCTCATTATCTAAAATCTCTAATTAATAAAAGTAACTACTTTAAGTCCTTAAATATACTCGTAAGAGGCATTTTTTATATTAAGAAAATCCCACCAAAATCTATTTTTCTAGCTACAACTGGACAAGTTACACAAAATTATAAACGTTGTGCCTTCTTTGTTTTGTTTTTATCACTCTATCAGCATGTATCAGTTTTCGGCAAGATATGGCCTCTTCCGTTGCAGGGAGAATATATCTGGCACATTGAAGATGATTATACCCTAAACGTTTTACATTTATATTTTAATCTTTTTTGGCTATGAGATCTTTTTACTATACTATAGCATTTTTGAAATAATAATTACCTTTTACAATGTTCACGGGATAAAAAACATTATCTTATTGTGATACTGTCACTAAATGCTATGCTAATTAATTAATAAAACGTTTGGTACTACGATCGTCCAATTTTCCTGCCAAGCGTGCCAATTAAGGCGAATTCTCTCTATATTTGCAGAGGCCCATATCCAGCATTGCACATTTACCGGTGTATTATGATGTAAATTATGTCGTAACTGACGGATGTGACTTTTAACATTTGAATTATGTTTAAATAGGTAACTGATCCAGCGCTTCTAGTTGAGTATCCACCAATTCAACATCAGCATGGCTTAGTGTCAACGGCTTTGGGTCTGCACGTGCCTACAGGGAGAACTATGCAAGTGAGATGTACTGCAAGAGTTGCGCCTTCTTGGAGAGAGGGCAGCGAAGCAGTAGTGGGCAACAGTCAACTTGCTGACAGCAAGGAAGCTATGCTACTTGGTAAATATTTATCATTATAGTGTTTTACGTTTCCACTGTTTTACTCGCGCTTGACTGCTTAAAACTCTTACCACTTTTAACCTCGGCCTGTACAATTTTTTTTGGAATGAAACCAACAAATGTATATCCATGGTTCTCAGATTCTCGCATCCTCTCTTTTGAAGTATTTTTTTCCACTTTTACTATCATTAATAATATTTTTTATTTATTCAAACAATTAAAAATTCTAAAAATAAGTGTTATAAAAAATAATTATATTCCTCCGATATAGGTCGCAATGATATTATGATAAAAATAATGATTTAAAGCAATGATGCTAGTTTTATCTTTTGATATCATTTAAAATATTTCAATATAAGTCACGAAAAATTTCTTTAGCAAATAAACTTACTACCAATTTCAATACTACAAGATAAATTTCATTCTTCATTATTTATTATACGAAGTCCTTGGTAAAACAGTCTTCATAAAAACTATTCGTTCGGCAACTAAGGACGACTCAAAATAAAACAACTGTATGTACTTCGTCCGAAAGTTGTTGAACTAGTTTGTTATTTCGTAAACGATTTGAAGCATTTTTACACAGTAGAATAAACTAAACGAAATGTTAACTTTAATAGTAATCAATATACTCGTAGCATAAAGGCCTTAATCGATATATCAAGCTCTATACTAGCTTGTAATGGGATGTATTGCATTGTACATTGCTATTGCATTTGAATAGGAACCACTACATTTTTAAATGACGCGACTAAAGTCCAAAATAAATGATATTTTAAAATTTTGTATTATTTTTTAATGAATGTCGATTACTTGAATGTCAAGAGCAATGCAAAAAATCGAGTATATGAGTTTTCGACTTAACAAGAAGTTTGAGATACAAAGGATTTAATTGCTAATATTTTTTATAGTTGTAGTATCAAAGTTAGTTAAAATTTGACTAAGTTACATATTTATTAAAACAAATAACGGCTTTTTCGCGTTAGATAGGCTCTGATACATTTATGCTTTTGTCACGATACTGTTTGAATCAGGTGAGTACGTATTTCTCTACTTCTGAAAACTCAGTTAGTCGTCATTTTTTCCAAGAAAAATTGCTACTTGATTCGTATCTTAACAATATATCGAATTTATTCTTAATTATTGTAGACAAAGTGTTTGCTGGTAATCGATATTGACCTGCCACGCCTTTTTTTCATGCTCCTTTTTACAACATTGATAACCTCAAATTTTCCACGCAGAGTTTCATTCGTTATCTTCCTTTTATTATTCACGTTGTTGCTAGTTAGTATAGTCAAATAAGTACTGATCGATTATGAACAAACATACGGTACACAGATGTGTTACTTAGAAAGTTTAATAAACGTATTCATTTATGTACATGTTCAAGGCACAGACAATATACAAGAAGCACCGAACATTACTTTTGAATTTGATTATTATGAGTTCGGGGAATCCCAAGTAAGACGTCATATTATATTTCACTAACTATGACTTACGCAGTCTGCTTTTTGAAAATCGAGTTTTAGAGTATAAACGTTATGTACTATCAATATCTCGCAGGAAAATAACGTTTTGTTTGAGTTACAAAGTCTAAATAAATCGAGATATTGCATATTTAGGGGTTCCGTAGAAGGGATTGGCATTTTTGCAACTTATTCATAAATACGACTTAACGAGGTTCGGGTAGTTATCTATTGTACTATATTTTTATCACATTCTTGCATTGTTATCTGAATTTGAGCAATAATAAAAAATTCAAATTACCAGCTCATCGGGAAGTTAGTTTGAAATCAACTACTAAATTACACCTGGACAACAGACAGGCAAACAAGAGTCTCTTGACTTAAAATTAATGTACTAATATAATAATATATTAATGCTTATTAGATAATTCAATCATATTCTTACATGACGTGTATAAATTTCGTTGATTTATGTTTATTGCTAATATTGTTTTAAAAAATAAAGAAAGTAAAAAGTACTTATGACAAAAGTATATTACTAAAGGACTTTTAAAAAGTTAAAGATTAAAATTAACCGCTGTGATTTTTCGTTACGCATAACCTACCTACCTACCACAATTCAAATCATTAGTTCTTCTTCTGAAAACGAATCTCTTCTTTCAAATCGTTAACATATGAACAGGGCCAAAGCTAATGAATGGAATAAATGAACCAGTTCAAACAAAGAAAATTATGAACGGCTCATACGAAAAATTAGATGATTTGTTTCATACTGTTTATTTTAAAATGTTTCTGAATAAAACTATCAAATACTAAGCAGCTTCGAAATCTGAAATCATCTAAGTGCGACGATGAACCTTGTTTTATTGAAAACGATTAATAAATTTAGGTACTTATATAAAGCAAAAAGTATCAATAGTCGTGTTCAAATTATATTTATAGATATAAAGAGGTGACATTTTATATAAAAAATCTTTGGCTTCGGCAAGCTTTAAGCAAAGTAATCATAAAATTTTGACTATAATATATCAATATTTTGCTTATTTTTATTGCATACTATTATAGAATATTTTTATACTGGTTAACTGTTCCTGTCTCTTTGTTTCAGTGAAAAGTTCATGCGGAGTGTCTACGTTAAATATAATGTTGTTAACACTTTCCTTCGCCCTACTTCTAAGTTCCTTGATTCAATTAGAAACGTGATAAATTATCCCTTGTCTTTTATTAACAAACGTTAGAAGCGAGCACGATTCCGACTTTTCTTCATACTTGACTGCAGAAGTTAATAGTGTAGTTTCCGAATACGTGTTAAAATCATTACATTATGTTTTATGTGTATTTAAGGCTAAACATGTAAATTGACATGTAAAAATGTTGTTGTTGGTGATATAAAGAATAAGATACATATCTTTTTATGTACACAATATAATTTGATGATTTGATTCTTTATAAAAAAATCGTTTTTAAAACGACCTAATTTTGTTTATTAATTAAAAAAATTAGGTTGATTATTTTATTAAATAATATACGATGCTAGTTGTAAATATCAGTAATTAGAAACGCCTTCTTAGATAGAAATGTCTAGGTATGAACCGTTGTAAATAAATGATGTTAACTTTTGTAACCATATTGCCTAAGACAAGAAAAATATTACAGATAATTGTTAATCATTTGTGAAGTAGAAACTAGTCTAGTGTATGTTTTAAAATTCTAAGAGATTAACTTCTGTATCTGACTTTATAAATTTACACAGATAATAATTATTAATTTAAGTCTGCTTAAAATATGGGTCCCGGTACTTATCTTTATCTTGAGGTTTGATAATAAAGCGAAAATTGATGAATATTATATTATTTTAGGGTACTAAACTGTCTTCCTAATATAACAAAGAACAAATGTCGCTGAAGTGAGTCATTTACTATAATTAAGTCTCTCTTTCGTTTGTATATAATTCAAAATATAGCAAGAGAGCTAATGATCCAAAATCAATTTTATGTCTGTATGCCTGCGTATGCCTTTACTATTAATGCGTTTAATTATTTCCTTGATAACACCTAATGTAAATTGTTTCAAAAATTCTTGCTTTTGTCGTTAAATTGTATTGTAGTTAGTATTTTAATGTGGCATTTAGGTTGGAAATAAAAATGTTTATTGCACACGGATTTTTATTGTATTTTATTGTACATACATACATACATAAACACTCACGCCTGTCACCCAGAGGGGTAGGCAGAGACTACGGACTTCCATTTGGCACGATCCTGACATACCTCTTTCGCCTCCTTTACATCCATATATCTACGCATACATGCTCGTCGGTTAAGGGTACTTCTAACGTGGCCCATTTTCAAAATATCGCCAATATTGGTCGATAAACTATTTTCTAGGGCGTCCCTTCCCGACTCGGCCGTTCACATCTGCCATATAAATTTGTTTTGTCACTCTTTCCTCATTCATTCTTTCTACATGATCAAACCACCGAAGCATTCCTTTCTTAATCCTGGTCACAACATCATCTTGCATACCACATTTATCTATATTATATTTTGCATACCACATTTATTTATATTATATTTTATTGTATTTTTAGTAATATTAAAATTGGACTTACCTTTTATTTTGGTATATTGCAATATTATTTAATTTTTTAATAATGTTTGTAATTATTCGGCTTTTAGTAGTTTTATGTTTTGGATATTCTCGTAACCGATTATCACGAAGAGAAAAAATGAGCACAGGCCCTTCTGCTAGGTTCTCCGTATGAATTTTTACGAATTACAACACAATATCGCGATATTTTTTTATGATTTTAGCCTATTTTACTTGCAAAACCACAGATTAATTTATGGCATCAATACAGATTCCAATAGATGAGAGGCGATAGGGAGACATGAAGTAGGGGATGGTTAGCAACACCGAATATACTGATACCGAATTTAGTCTATATCTTACATACATGCACATATATATATATATATATATATATATATACGAAATGCGTAATCGGATTAGCAGGTTTGGAGGTATTATACAGAAAGATAATTAAATCTCCTTGATGAAAGCATGAGATACTTACATACCCTTGTATCGATAAAACAGCGATGCTCAAGATAGCCATAACAACAATATTAGTGGTGTTGCCAAGGGTAATGTGACGAATTGTGGGAAACGGTGGCCCTCTTGTCTAGCTCTCCATTAGATATAACTATTTACGTAATGTTATATAAATTAGCATGAGAAATTGCATTGTTGATCATAAGACTTTCTTTTCAATGAAAGGATCATACCAAATGCCGCAAATCTTAAAACCTGTTCTTCGGCACGCGCACTTTAAATTCTGCTAAGTTTGAGACAGTTACTACTCAAAACTTTTTAGAACTTTTTGTTGAAGTTATACTTCTTAAGCGGCTTTATAATTTTGACAACGCAACGGAAATACCAAAGAATTTGTAGTTTATTACAGCACGATAATTTTAACTAGTGTTATATAAAGCCGGGACATTTCTTTAGTGACAAAGATTACCGTATTTAATTTTAACTACTAATATTTGCATTATCATATATTTTATAGTAATGACAAGTTCTAAGAATGTTATTTTTTCTAATTCGATTTTACGGCGTTAAAATACACTGTACTGGTAGACACAGATGAATAATATACATTCATGGATAAATTTAGAGGAACGCAAAAAAAAATAATTTCTTTTGGAATGTCTAGGTTTTGTAATTTCATTTGTTTTTATATAATTTTTGCGTAATATGACGTCTCAAAAATTTGCCATCTTTTGAATTTGAATTTAAATTTAGATATTGCTTAGGTTTTTGACTTGAATGTTTTGTATATCGTGTTAAATGTAAATTTTTACTGCACATAACCAGAGAAAGCCAGGTATAAACGCCTTTTAAGTTCCTAGGGCTGTTACTTAATTAGTTTAATTGAAACTGGGCACTTCTACAAACACGCAGCTAAAACGTTATGTCTTAAAATATGTGGTACACTGAGTTGACATGAGGTATCGGCAGACCGGACATTATACGTGACTCGCAGGATAGGGACGTAAATGATAAAATGTAGTCAGTGATAACAGCTTCATCGTTACCAGCGTGCTTAGAAATCGGACCTTAATATCTTCTGAGACAATAACAAAGCTCCAAGAAATTCAAGATGTTACAGTAGGCACAAAAACTGTGAGAAAAAACTGAATAAATTCACACTTCCCCGCTAGAAGCTGTCTGCTTACCACGTGCCATCGAGTAGTACGTATTAATTTTGCTTGCAATCACAAAAATTGGAGTAGCGAAGCTTAAAGTCAAGTTTAATTTACAAATGAGTCCAGATTTTAGCTGAAGCCAGACGATTAAAGGATTAAAATGTTGAGACACCCGAGAAATAGATACGCTCAGTGAAATAATATAGGAAAAGAGGCATATGGTGGAGAGCCAGTTATGTTATAGAGAGGTACCTGAATGGGGGCACATACGGAACTTTTCGTCATTGAAAATAGGTCACTAACATCGATTTTGAAATAAATTATAGTGATATTGGTTCCTTTTATAAAAGATTTGTTTTAACGCATGATAATCCACGCCCCAATACTACTGACGTAGTTGTCAAATTTTATTTTATTTATTTATTTTTATTTTCGTATACAGTAAAAGTATAACAATTAATAAGGTATAAACATAAACTCTTTTGAGTTTTACCGTACACCCCAAGCCGTCGATATACATTAATAAAGATTAAGAATATAAGAGACAAAAATCAATGCTATGCTAGTGCGCTCACCCAACTTAAACTCCATAGAGCACGTATGGGATAAGATTCAAAGACAAATTAAGAAAAGAAAGCTTGCCCCCCGGTAATTTGAAACATCTTAAAATGCATTACACCAAGAATGGAACGCAACCTATGAAGATATTATTTATTACTTGATTAGAATTATGCCAAAGAGACTGAAAATAGTTCGTCGAGAAGAGCCTCTAACTCTCCAACACTTAATACTGTTTATAGCCCAAGTTATAGCCTTTCATAAGCATTTATGTATAAAAAATTAAGTACAAAAATCTTTATTTCCCGTAATTTTTTTTCTTCATTTGGTTAATTTTTCAATTGAGCGTTTTTAGTTTTAAATTAACTAATAATAAATAAAATCCATACTAATAAACTTAACTGTCACAAAATACACACTTTTTTGCATTCTTCTAAGGTATTGTCTTTTTTATAGAATAAGGGTGACAAACGAGCACACACCCACCACCTGATGGTAAGTGGATGCTGTGGCCCATAGACATCTAAATTCATCCTCGAGTAAGAATCAAAACGCAGACGCATTGTTACCCCTTAGGACTAGGATGGAATGCCTCGTTTCCAGTAAAAAAGGGTCCCCGAATATCTAAACTCACCATACGAAACACAAGAGTATTATGATGCTATTTTACGTTGGTATTATGTGAGAGCGTGGTCCTTACCCGGTCGAGCCGACCCATTAGTGCCACAACCTTAATACAGCTGCAGTGTGGCTCTACCACGTATCAAATGAATATAGTTACTCTTACTTCATATTAAAAATGAAAACAAAAATTGTTGTTTTGTCTTTCATTCACGCAGTAACGGAGCGAATTGACTTGTTTTTTGCATAGAGATAGTTTATAGGTTGGAAAGTGACATACCATTACCCTAGAAAATTCATGTGAGGTAGTTCTGGAGTGTAATTCTGAATGGATTGATGACCATGCGTTGTGGTATTCCTTGGGAGGCCTTAGGAGGTCGGAATGATGATGATTAATTGTGACGAGAATATTGTCACAGTGCCTGAAACATATAATAAAAAGAATTCCAAGTACCTAGGAGTACGGATGAAACATCAAGTAAAGAAATTTAGAGACGAGAGTAATTTGCTAACACTGTGCAAACTAATGAATAAAATGCGTTTAATATTAATACAAAGCATATCTGCTATAGAAATCGCTATTTTGATATCAAAGTTAAAACTTCTAACGCGCGTTAAGTTAACGCATCAATTTTTTTTAGATAGATTTTGGTCACCATTACAATGACAGTCTGCGTGTGCAGCAGCATAAATAAAAATAAAGTATATATATATATATATATATATATATATATATATATATATATATATATATATATATATATATATATATATATTTATATAATGCAATTTTTCATGCTAATTTATATAACATTACGTAAATAGTTATATCTAATGGAGTGCTAGCCAAGAGGGCCACCGTTTTCCCACAACTTCGTAATACATAACAGTCACATTACCCTTGGCAACACCACTGATATAGTTGTTATGGCTATCTTGAACATGTGTAACAAATGTGTGAAAAATATATGGATATATTTATAATGTTTAATGATGATAGCAGCATTAAGAAAAGAAATGTCAAAATTATCTTCTGGATTAAATATTCACGGAATGAAATTGATAAACCTCAAGTAAATTTTCTTCAAAGGTTTTTAAATCTGGCTTTTATCCTCACCACATTCTGTAAATCGCCGTTTTATCTTCTTATTCTTTTGTCAGCAATATTACGCACTTGATTACGAGCCTTTAACAATATTTTAAATGTAATTTAACTTTTATATTTTATGCACTATGTAACATTACATGCTTTGTCATTTTTAATGAAGCTATCAACTGACAGTTAAACAAAATTATCCACATTAATTTAAGTCAAGTTTTAATGAAAATATGAAAGTGTCAATTTTTTATCTATAAAACTTCTATTAACAGATTTAAACTTTAAAGAGTAAGAAGTAGGAAAACTTTTATTGGTTATTAAGTAATTAAATCAATCATACCTACGAAGACATATTACTTTATAAAATTCTAAGTTAACTAGCATAAAGCAAAATGTGACAAACATTCTATTTGTTCGCCTATGACGATGTAATGACGCACGCAAAGAATCATTTACATAAAACGGATTGTGCTACGAGATTCATCAGAATAATTAGAGCTCCAAAATGTAAAGAGCCATCACCCTCCCTGTGATAAAACATAATTCAGGTTTCAAAGGGGATATCACTAAAATAATAAGAGTTCTAGTTCTAATGGTCGTGAAACAACACGCATTGTGAGTTAATAACAAAGGACACGCAAAGGGGTATATAGCCTATTACCTACGTGTTAAATGCGTGAACATTGTGCAAATAATTTTGTTTCAGAAATGTTTCATGCCACTGAAAAGTTTTAATGAGCCATTAGCACTTAATGTCGAAGAATTTTTGTTGTGACAAAGTTTTCTAACTTTTCAAGCCAGTCTCAATAGAAAAATAAAACAAGTGGTTTTAATATTGTGTCAATTTGTTGGGGAATTTATTATAAACATTTTTGACGAAGACACTAGTAATTCCTTTATTGTAGTGAATATTTATATGAGATATCGTTAGAAACCTCACCGGCCGAATTGTAAGATAACTTTAAATTTAAAGTACAGCAAAGATAGTATTAATCTTAATTTAATGTAGAAATTAAGAATAAACATCTAAGCATATATAAATTTAAATGTGCTCAGAAAAAAAGTAGATAAAAACCTAGTGATAGGGTTTGTCAGCTAATGGTTTTAGTTTTCCCTTATCCGAATTTGTGAGAGCGAACTGACAACTTGTAAAAGCTGATAGGCCGGCAGTTTAGTACCTACGGACCCACGCGATAGCAAGCCAAGTAGTAGCAGTAGCCAAATGGCCAGATAATCTGATTACTGTGCAGCAGTCGTGTTTTGTCACGCAATATAACCCTCTGACAAGTTTCACAGTTTCAGTAAAAGGGACAGTTGGCTTGTTGGTTGAACCCGTCATTACTATTTCAAACAGACCCTCTATTACAATATCCACATTTATGTCTGAACAAGGATGATGTAATATTTAATTCATATTGCCCAATGCTAACAATTTATTTGTGTAGTTTTTTATTTAGCAATTTAGTTTAAAGTATAAATAGTACTTTTGTTTTGTTATGTTTTATTTATAGTATATATATAACTCAATAAATATATATATATATATATATATATATATATATATATATATATATATATATATATATATATATATTTAATGTTACTGTTACAACTGACTATCAAAGTCCACCGCTGAACATTGGCCTCCCCAATATATAGCCTCATAGGGGGGATATATGCCTTAAATGTATATACATTACATTCCATCTTAGTTCTCAGGGGTGATAACGCATTTGCATTTTGATTCTTAATTGAGGATAAATGTGGATATCTATGGGCCACAGTATCCAATTACCACGAGGTATACTGTGTACTTGGTTGTTACCCAAACCTACAAAAAAAAATACAGCAATCATTGATCTAAAACTTCCATTTATGTATACCTAAATAGCAACTGTTACCAATCACAATAAAATTGATGACAAAGTATCAACAAAAAATGCTTGTGCCTATTTCGGACATTAAAGGGCGGTTTGTGTGAAAAAAATATGTCCTTCGTGTCGTATCTCACAAGAATGGTGATCGATGGACAATGGTCACGCAGAAGTGGCGCACGCAAGGCACGTCCACTCATTCTTTAGCTTGCTTTCTGACACTCAGCTCGTAGATTACGGTCATAAAAATAACCACCGTGCCTCTTCGTTACGATTGCTGACATAATTTAATAGAATATTGTTTACATTTCCTTGTAAAATTTGTAATGTAATTTTAATGTATTCAAAATTACATTACAAATTCTGAAATTACAAATAATTCAACTGGGGAAGTCGATAATCAACACAACAAATGAAAAGACAAATGGGGAAATCGAGTAATTTGTTGAATCTATGAAAATGCCCATTGTTTAAAATGCAATATCGCAATTATAACTGTTGTGCAAAAACGTATGGGCCAAAATTTAGGAGCTTCCCTAATGGGGGCTCGTAAGACAAGAAACAACAACAGGACCTGCTTACGCAGAGATGAAGTGTTGCGCTTGGCTCATACAGAAATTAGGGGAAATTCAAGTACCATTCAGCCACCATCATCGTACCTGCTCCTTACCAGGCATGATGGCCACGATGATGGTGCCTTATGTATTTTTTTCAAAACCACTTTTTACGTTCACGCGTAGTAAGTGGAAATATAGTGTGCATTCATTATATAAACAAGGCCGTTTGGTTTCATAAATGAACTAAGCCTTCAGTTAACCAGTTGATAAATATCAATACGCTAAGATTTGACATGTATACGTATATAATGGTGACCTCTGTGTAAAAGAAAGTATTGCATATAACTACGTAGTACTATTATTTATTCTGTGATATAACTGTGAGTGCACTATTTTAAAGAGGTTTGTTTACACTATACATTGTCTTGCTTCTACAAGCAGCTCCACCTGTGCGAAAACATAAATACCTTCATACTCTTGTATTAAGCTATTTATGCTTTTAATTTATTTTGTATTATATTAATATCGATTATGATTGCAGATTTATAGATCATTAGAGTATAATCACACTTAAGTTAACGAAATTAAACTAGGAATATTTTAAAATGTGCAAAAATTCACCATCCTGTGGTTTGATTTTGATGGTTGAATTATACGCCGAATTAATTATTTAAGAAAATAATAAGCAACATGAAAATTCATAATTATTTACATAACCGTGAAAATTTTGGTAATTTTATACTATCGCGGTCACCTCGTTTTTAGGCTCTAGAGTTTTTAGCTCTAGCTTTTTAGACAAATCATCCGATTTCGATGACTTTTTTAAATATTAATTATTACGGCAGATTTACGAAAAAAATACAAGAATAAAAAAATTAAAACTAAATATATTGGTTTCAAGTCTTTAAATGTTCATGAAAATGCACTCATCCGCGTACAATTATTAATAACTTTTCAAAAATAATCAAATGACGTTGTTATATTTTTTTCATAATCTACACAAAAAACGAACATTTAAAAAATCTAAAAATTTTTTATTTCGGATTCAATTCGACTGCGCTATGTAGAGTGGCGTGGTGCTTCCCTCGCCCAACTCTCTCCCGTAGCACAGACGAGGGAATCCCAACGGAGTCCCGCTTCGCGGGGCACCTTACTTCTGTGTGGTTTATAAAAAATACCCATTAAGGAGATCTTCTTCTTCTAACTTAACCTGTCTGAGTCGGGATGCCCTAAACCCCGAGCTCGCTTCGTTCGATCTTACACTTAATAAAATAACAAAATATAAACTTTTATAATTATTTCGATTTTCTATTGCGTTTATGAAAATCGTTAAAGTCGGAAAACTTAATAGAAAAATTAATAAACAAACATTTCTCAATGATTTTTTTTTAATTCCCTTTAAAAATTTATTTGTGTAAGTGATATAAAAATATAATTACGATTATGCTCAACTAAATGAATTAATAATAATGATAAACAATCTGGTTTATTTCCGAATACTTTTGGAAGATTTACCTTTCGCAATATTACCACTTGTTGCGCTTTTTGCACCTCTTGCAATCTGTAACGCATCTGTAACGTCACTGCACTTCTGAAGTCCAGGGGGCCTAGAAAAAATCCGTTTTCTGTAAGCGTTAATGCCAACGGAAAAATCTAATTGTATGGAGTTGACATTTGCTAACCAGATGTCACGTGATTGCTGCTTAATTGGTAGACAAAGTCATTATTCCTCATGTGGAAAGGAACTTCGAAGTGAGCGTGATACGCTAACGACAAAAATGTTCATCAAAATGGTAGACAATTGCCACTTTTCACAAACGCCAATGATATTTTGACGTTTCCGCAACACGCTATATTAGCGGGAGATCGGACCCAGACGCTAACGCTAGAAACGAGTAAACAGTGATATTTTGTGTGTCTTTAATTCAAATTAATTAGTGAAAATGCATACTTTGAGATTATTATGGCCAGCTAATAATGAAACAACATTGCAAAGACGTCAAACAAGAGTAAATCGTCGTAAAATGGTGCAAATTGTGGAGATCGAGGAATTGGAATTTGTTCATCGTTTTAGGTTAGATAAACAAAGTTTTTGGCATCTTTGTGATGATCTTCGGCGTTTAACGTCATTGAAAGGTACCAGGGAAATTAATTTAGAAATCAAGGTAAATTTTGTACCTACGTATAACCTTTCAACAGAGTTAAGTACTTAATGTCATTTCTCAATGAAATCATGTTTCAGGTTTTGTGTACTCTTAGATTTTTAGCAACGGGTTCATATCAACGCATTGTTGGACTAACGCAGCATTTGGTACAAAGAACAACTAGTAGGCCTATACGTCAAGTTGTTGAAGCATTGAGCCATCCAGCCATTCTAAATAAATGGATTCTGTTTCCAAGGTCGCAACAACAAAGAGCCCAAATAAGACTTGAGTAAGTTATGATATGACAAAAGTGTTTAAGTATAAATGCATACTTGAAATACTTTTTATTAGTAGCATATTCTTTGATGTACTAAACACTATACCTTCCTTAAGGCCGATAGGTACTTAGAAAATGCCTCATTGAGCCTTTCATGCACACTAGGTTCAAAATACTAGTAAAAACATCTGTCCTTTTAAAAACAAAATATTTAATTATTATATTTTCCAAAATTACGGGTTTCAGAGGCGATTTAGACTCCCGGGTATAGTTGGATGCATAGACTGTACCCATGTGGCCATAGTCAAGCCACCAGATGAAGAACATTTATTTTTTTAATAGGAAAGGTTATCATTCATTGAATGTACAAATAGTAAGTTTGCATTTGTTCGTGGCTCAATTTTGTAAAAATAGCTTTAATTAGTAATTACAGAAACATATTCATAGGATTATTATACACGTTCCATAATTTTTTCCTGTCAACAGGTAAGCAACAGTAATTTAAAAATTACTGATGTAAATCCAAAGTTTGGGGAGCTACCCATGACTCACTCATTTGGGCATCTAGCAGAATGGAAACATTTATGCGAGAATTGCACCAAAATGGAGAACAAGTGTGGTTATTTAAGTAGGTAAATAAATAATATGGTATATTTTTAGATAACACTTTTGTTAAAACATTTTATTCAAAAAGAATTATATTGTTGCGTAGCAAATAATTATTACCTAATGCAAATATTTATTTATGTATTTTTAGGTGATTCTGGATATCCTCAGCGGCCATGGCTGATGATTCCCATATTAAATGCAGTTCCTGGCTCAGTTGAAGATTCATATACTCAGCGACATGTACAAGCAAGGAACTGCATAGAGCGCTGTTTTGGATTGCTAAAGTCACGTTGGAGGTGTTTATTAAGACACAGGACCTTGCATTATCATCCTGAGGTTGCTGGGAAAATTGTACTTGCCTGTTGTGTGTTACACAATATGGCTTTAGAGGCCAATTTGCCTCCTCCACCTATTATGGAAGTAGAAGAAGATGATGCTCAACCTGACAATGCATCTGATAGCGTTGGTGCTGCTAGTGATCAAAGTGAGCTACTCCAAGGCAGGGCTGAATAATCTTTAATCAAGACTTTAAAAGTATTTCTGAGTTTTTAGTGTATAATGGTATGTGTTGTGTGATTTTTTTTATTCCTTTTTTTAATTTAGGGACTTACGTTATGTGATTTGTGAAAGCAATGTAACAAAACCTTATTTCTAATTTGAAGGTATATCAAAATTAAAGGTCAAGGTTTTCTGTCAGATATGTTCCATTAATAAAATTATACACTATCCAAATTTTATTGTACAATTAATTTTATGTTAGTAAGTAGTAGATATAGAGTTATAATTTTGTTTTTGTAATTTTAATTTTATCCTTTTGCTGTGCCCAGGGTCTATGTTTTGTACCTAGCTTTAAATGAATATGATTATAAACAAATAAAATTTAATTACATTATGCATGGAATACATGTCATAGTTTATGGGAGAATATCATGTTACTTAAATTGTAATTTTGTCTAGTACTTGTACTAAAGTATTTCTTAGTTGTTAGTGTAATGGTATGTAATAAGTAATTTGTGAAACCAATGTAACAAAATCTCATTTTCAAGTAAAGGATCAAAATTAAAAAGGTACTTATTTTCTTTAAAATATTTTTCATTATTAGAATTATATACTATGCACTATTAAATCTAAATTAAAAAATGAAAACAAATAAAATATAAGTAATATTAATTACTTAGCACAGTCAAATAAAATTACATTAGGGGTAGAATAAATTATGTTACTTAAATGCTAATTCGGTCTCAAATCACGAGTCTCCAATAGTGACATAAGAGCTGTTTTTTAAATTTAATTCTTGGATGTAGTCACGTAGGTCTGCCTCTACGCGGGTGCGGACTTCTTCGACCCGAACGCGCTCTCTATCCAGTTACAGACGTTGTGCTTCTATTTTGAGTCGTTCAGTTTCAAGCTCGTGTTGACGCGCATCCCTCTCCCTTTCGAAACGCAAGCGATTCACCTCTATTGCTACAAACTCGCTGGTGGATCGGTCAAATGGTGTTTGTCACAGTTTTCGCTGTCTGAGACGGCGATGACGAGGTGTAGAAGGGCCGGCAGATACCGGCGACCTTTCTGAGAATACAGATGAAAGCTATAATATACTAAAGAAAACTAACGAAATATGGTGGTGATGGTGGTTCTATCTATGGTGGCAATGAAGTTATTTAATAATGTTGGTAGTTTCAATTACTCATAATAATTAATATTCAATAATTTTAATACCTTTACAAAATTAATTTTGTAATAATTACCTCCTTGTATAGTTCTACTATTTGAAGGTCCTGGCACAGGACTGACAGGATGTGCTGGTGGAGATGTTACATTTGCTGGCACTGCTATGGGTGTATCTTCTGCAGCTGATAGTAATGCCAAGAGCTCAATTTCTGCTGGTGATGACATCCTCCCTGCTGTATCAGCTGTATTGCTCACTTGAAGTTGAGATGGTTCCTAAGTACAAAAATATAACCAGTTGTTGACCAGAAATATACAAGTTTTTAAGAAATCAGCAAAACAAGAAAAAACATTAATATATGAAGGGTTCACTTACTTGAAAGCCTGCTTCTTGTATGGCTTGACTTCCAGTAATTGCGGTGACCCCAATTACACGTAACACCCTTTCCTCAAGTCGACTTAATGGTTTTCCCCTACCAGACCCACCACCAGTGCCATGAATATCCCGATTTATAAGGGAGGCTTTCTTTTTTTGCTTTGGTTTTCCAGTCAGACCATACCTGTAGCACAAAATATGAAATAATACATTAAAATAAATGGTCTTCATAGGTACTATGCAACAGCAGTACATACTTTGCTTAATAATTAATATCTTATTACCCTTTTCCATTTGTCGGAAGTTTTGTTAACACCACATCCACCCACTGAGTTTAAAATGTCAGCTAACTATTGCCACAGGCGTTCACTCCTTACCCTTCCTTGAAGTCCAACTTGTGGCCTTGAAAGATCACCATGGCTAAAAATAATATTCATAAGATTAGTGTACAATGAGAATAAGAGCCAGTAAACAAAGTTTGCTGTTAACATTCTAATACCCTTACTAAGAAACAAGTATTAAGGTTTGGAATAGAGTTTATCTTTATAAGAATAACAAAATGTAAGAACCACAATCATATAAGTGCACCATTGTGAGGTTGTTTACATTATGCATTCCACATTCTCAAGTAGGTCCAATACTAGTTAAAACAGGGAACAAAATTTAAATAATGCTAGTTTTTACGGAATTTATCGCGTATATTTAACTTTTTAAATACCTGACGTTTAGAGCGCTTTACAGCACCCATGGTCACGGGGGGGATAAGTTCCGTAAAAACTAGTATTAGTTCAATGTGTAGTGTTCGCGTAAATACAGGGAACAAAAATTGGAATAATTGAAAACATTTGGAAAAAACCTACCTTTCCATAAATTCTATTAGCAAACTGAATTGTTCGGGACTCGCACGAAGTTTAGAATCCATATCGCAGTTCTTACAATGTCTTCACTAACTTTTTTGTAATAAAATACTTCAATAACTTTCAACACAACACTTTTAAATAATATTCTAAGCGCGCGTTTGCGTTTGACAGTGACAGATGCTGACGCAATTGACACTTGCTACACACTATTCCATAGACTAATTAAAGAGTGTTTCGGGTAACGCTGCGGAATGGGCGTTCAGCGTTCTATGTGTAACTTATCTACCAATTTCAATACGCTAACGTCAAGTCCTTAGCGTGAGTGGAAAACGCTTGCTTGGGAAACGCTTGGATTTTGTCTAGGCCCACAGGACCCGCAGAGTTATATGTCGTTAGTTATACTTAAGTTGGCAGTGTATGGCAGTGTAAACCATCACAATATTACGTCTCATGTGTGTCGTTAGAGATCTTTTTAAAATGTTAGAAAGTAGTCACGATCTCTGACTGATGGCGGTGTTTCATCTAGTATACGCTAGATGTAAAATATGCAGAGCGGCGAAGGAGATTAGCGTGAAAGATTCAACACATCCGATACTGCGATTGCTAAGCCACTAGTGAAGCGAATCAAATATAATGTGTTCTGCAAGGTACTATTTTTTATTTTATTAGGTAGTACATACAGTATAGTAGAGTCCTTTATCTAGTATTAGTCTGCTACAGGCTTACAAAGAAAAGCATTTGGTATATTAAACTCCATTACTCGTAAAATCGACGTCTACGAGACTGAAGCAAGAAAGACTATTTTCATTTTTTGGCTATACCAACAGTGATGGCTATAATATATTTACAAAAAAAAATCCTTTTCAATGAGTGATTTAACGATTTCTATATTATTATTAGTCTGTGCCGTCTGACTGTAATTCCACATCCCCGTAGACAAATTGATACAAGGCGAGTGATACAGTCTACACGTTAGTCAAGTTCAAAACATACCAATGAGGCCAAAGTTCACGATGTTTTTTAGAGCTATCCACATGTTGGCTGTTATTAGTCATCATTGAGAATTGGTATGATATGGATGACGTAAAGTTATTGCAGCTTCTGCTATTTATTTAATGAGTGCATATAATTATAATGTCAGTGTACTCCGCAGTCAAGTTAAAAAAAACTTAAAAATGTCCTCGTTAGCATAGTGATTATGTTGAAATTATTTTAAAGTTGCAACCAAATTAAATTAATATCTCGCCGGGATGGACGCCATGCTGTAACTGAAATGGGCGACTTACATGAGGACGTGACTTGCCGAGAGCGCCTTTGATTTGTGCAGAAAAACCGACATTATTCCGAAGTGGACGAGTCGTAGCAAGCGATTCTGAGTGGCGGCAAGGCACTCCAAATTAACCGTTTACACGTTGGCGTTCATCAGCATTCGGCCAGCTAGACGAACGTCAACGGACAATGGCGAGGCTGGACAAATGGGATGTTTATGCGTTGATGCTCGCTTTCGTTCAGTCAATATGTACAGCCGACTTTACCTTTATGACTACGCTCAGTAGATCAGTAGTCGGATGAAAAAACTGTCAAATTTATCTTCCTTTTGGAATATGCTTTAAAAACGACGAAAAAATGTATTTTGTTGAAATAGTAAAAATTTCGACTCGTGTGAAGACTCGCGAACGTCTGATTATCCAGTGGTAAAAGGTGGAAAGACGAATTAAGTCCTGTAATTTCTGCCCACATTCTCTAAAATGTTTTCTTTAAATAAAGAGAGTTTGCATCTTAGTACTTTAATGAGACTCTTAGTGTGCCTCTTCACCGATTCCCAAGCTGCTAGGTAAATTTGTTATTTCCTTCTAAATTCTAATAATTCAGGCATCAAAATTTTTGCCGTAGTATAGGTTCGTAAACAAGTGGAATCGATAATTTTGTAACTAAATTAGTCTTGTTAATATTCTTGACTAGATAAATTCTATGCTTATTGCTGTATCTCTAATTCTAGTAAGGAGACAAATAATGCTGTATTACATCTTAATAATAACGAAATGGAAGACTTTAAATTAGATTAAAGTCCCCAAACTTAATAGGAAATGTAAGAATGCTTATTAAGTGCTTATTACGGCCGAGTGGTTTAAATAGCTTACTAACATCAGATAATCTAGTTATTAGATACGCTTATCTGTAATGCAATACCACATACTTATTTATGCCGTGCTATCAATTTCTTCAGTAGCTATAGACCCGTAAAAAAGGCTTTTATTAAATGAAACTAATTTTCACGATTATTATCGCATCTCCAGACGTTTTAAGTGCTTTTTCGCACCCATGATTATAAGCGAGTAAGGGGAATAAAAGAGTGCAGAGTCCTAAGTTCCGAGTTCCGACGTCCTCCAGTTAATTTAATAAAATTAGAAATAAACTCTATAAACTAATAGAGTCAAAACGAAATATAACTTTAAAGATACCAAAAAAGTTTATAAAATCATAAACCAAATGTTAGTCGTCCTAACATTTGGTTTATGATTTTATAAACTTAACATTGACGAGGCAATACTGAAGGCTTTTGACGGACAGGGTCTTACCACCAAAACGATAGCTAAAATTTCGCAAATAGCTTTGAAAAGCAATTAAAGACATTGTTCCTCAATGCAGCATAAAATTAACCAATCCACTAACTTATCGGACACAGGTGGATTCAAGTATTTTGTTCAAAAAGTTTCTCAGAACAATGTTAACAAAATTTTTAAGAGACTGAACTCAAATAAGGCTCCTGGACCTGACGGTATTAGAGTAGCTGATCTAAAATTGGTTGATAAACTTATATCCTTGCCCATTGCCAATTTTGTTAACTGCTGTCTTGCGTCTGGAGTATATCCCGACGACCTCAAAATAGGCTGTGTGATATCAGTTTTCAAAAAAGGCAAACACGACGATTACTCCAACTATCGACCAATCACTCTGCTTTCTAATATTGATAGAATAGTTGAAAAAGTTATCTGTGAGCAGATTCATCATTTTTATCGCAAGCACGAAGTCATAAATAAAAACCGGTACGGATTTCAAGCAGGTCAATGTACTACGGACCTTCTATGTAAGTTTACAGATGAGGTAAACGAGCATTTGAACCTAAAAAAAGGTGTACTGGCCTTGTTTATTGATTTTTCTCGTGCCTTCGACACGCTGCAACATCAACTCTTAATCCATAAACTGGATCATTGTGGTGTAGCAGCCAGGCTAATCGGCAATAAATAATATATACCCTGCTCTGTAATATATACCTTCCTAACTATCCCCGGCTACTGAGATTCTGCGGGCTGCATATTGATGCGAAATAATTTGACGTATATATTTAACGTTCTAATAAAGAAACAATAAAAAGCCGCAATAACATTCAGCGCCACATCATCTTCACACGCCGCTATCGTCACGTATCCGTCGACCATTTTCGAGCCGTTTTTTCAACGCTGCAGCTCGCTTCTTCTTGCGGTTCCGGAGCTGTGTCACACGTCGCCGCCGCTGCTCACCGACTACGCGCGCGCGCCGGCCTGCATAACTTTTATAGGCCCAGTCCAGCGACGTAGATACGAGAAGATAACACGAGTCTCACGCCGGCAAATGGAACGTACATAATACTTCTATTTTAAATAATCTTTATTGGTCATAATGTATGTACTGTAATTGGCTGTATTAACTAACTACGTAGCCGGACATATAAATATAGGCTGGGTCGACGTAAAATTTATTCCACATTCCATATTCTATATTCCATATTCAATACTCGATATACCAGTCGTTTGTACATAAATAGTAGTTTTATTTCTCCACCACTAAACCACTCGGAGTCTGTTAATAGTGGACCGCTTATCCCCACTATTATAAAGGTATCCTGGGTCCGTTGCTCAATTGGTGTAGAAATTACCTCCAAAATCGTACATTTACGGTTAAATTAAATAACTCGTTCAGTGAACCTAAGAGTGTGACAGAAGGCACGACCCAAGGATCAGTATTTGGCCCGTTGCACTTTTTATATTTGTCTGAAACACAGTTCCCGTTACCAATTCGCAGATGATACGTATCTTCTCGTTTCGGGTAAGGATATCTCAAATGCGTGTAATGCTCTTCAGGCCGATTTAGATATGTTGATACGATAATGCCATGACGTTGATCTAGTGTTAAATACAAATCTCCATACATGAGGTATCCTACTATAAAACCATTAATTGCACATAATCAAGACTGCCTCCATCAAATAGGAACTTGCCAATGTCCTAGCATCGAAGATGTGACCACACAAAAACACCTTGGTCTTATAATTGAGCCACATTGAACATGATGTGTGAAATAAGTGGCGTCAGTTTTTAGCCAATATAAAAATATTAAACAATCGCATACCCTTCAAAATAAGACTTGTGCTTTACAGCTCCCTGGCTGAATCTTATATTCAGTATGGCTTGTCAAGCTATGGTCGGACGTACAAATCATATTTAAAACAGATCTATGATCTTCAATTTAGTATTCTCACAAATATTGTATCCTCTAATATACATGTCCTTATTGATGATGATGGAAATGCGATATTTAAACATTGTAAAATCTTACCAGTTTATGAACAAATTAAATTCATGTTACTAAAACAATATTTCTTTTTCGACAGTTTAAAATCTTATATAGATTTATCTTATAAACATCCAAGCGCTCCATCCAGCGCTGTGACACAAAGCCTACTCCGGCACATCAATGCTTATAATGTGTACGGGCAACAGAAGGCCGCTTATCAGGTACCGCATTTAATAAATAACTTACCTTTCGATTAACGTGAAAACCTATCACAACAAAACATTAAAACTAAACTCAAAAGCTTATTTCTATCTAAATTATAATTACCTACCATATCTAATTACTTAATAATAATGTACTACCTGCCTAGCTCTTACTTTTACCTTGTTACTTCCGACTTTAACTAAATTGTTAACTTTCCTTTTTAGTCTTTGTATTCTTGCTATACCTTCTACCAACTCATATACCTCATATCTCAATCATATCCTCTCTGTGGAATAGTTTACCA